TCGATTAAGAAAAAATGCCCTCTCTCTCAACCAATCAGCGCTCAGTAATTTTGCCCTTTATTGATAAAAGATCTATATCAGGCACATATAAGCTTCCAAAAAGAGTGTTCTGTTAATTATGTAGGAGCTCCTCGTCTTAAATATTATTTCAAGGCATCTTCCTTTCTTAAATTTTCCTAGAAAAGATCTCGCTATATATCTGCAAGCAATAAATGTGAAACGTCAGTTGGAAGCGGGGAGTGTTTGCAGTGAAGTGTAGATCTTCATTTTATTTAAACTAAACGACCCACATAAAGTTGTTTTCTAACTACAGTATCATCCTTAATTGCACTAGTCGAGGTAGTTCCTTAAATCGTATTTGTTTTCATAGTGACGTTAATCAAAAAATCAATGAAAATACCTTGAAAACAGGGGTATGACTTGCAGTCATCAGTGTTGATCTCACACTCCTTTCCTGTAAATCCAGGTGGACAGTTGCACGAGTAAAAACCTGATCCCCTTGGCTTTAGAGGAGAGCAGTTTCCATTATTCCGACATGGACAACGTACCAGAGAAACACTGAAAGTGAAGGTGGAAGAAGCCTGGCAGGTGTCCGTTGCTTTGAGCTGGAATGTGGTGGTTTTGTTCGTCGTGACGGTCCATCGAAAAACATTATCCGTCATCACGGCTTCTTTTGGGTTCTCGTCCGTCAATGAAATTGTGACTGGTATGTCTTCTGGGTCGACTGCATCAAACATCAACTCCAAGGTTTCTTGATATAAAGCAAAGTACTGAAATTGCGAACTAATCTTGGGTGGAAGGTTTTCTGCAATATCAGGTAAAAGTCAATGTTATATCTGTATAGGTATTTACAATGAATATGTAAAGGAAAAGTAAAGGACAAAAACAAAAAAAATAAAAATAAAAAACAAAAACAAAAACAAAAACAAAACAAAACAAAACAAAACAAAACAAGAACAAAACAAACGTTTTCGACATCATGTTATCTTCAGGGTAAAAAGCCGTCCGCTACTTGCAAAATTTATATGTTAGGAAATTCCCGGTGGGAACAATTTCGCCCTATAACAGCAAATTTGTTTACTTAAGCTGGGTTGCCATTGTTGGATCATTAGGCCAGTTAGGATTCCTCGCTTGTGAAAAGGTTAGGCCCGTGCAGAGTATGCGCCAGCTAAAAGAATGCGAAGGGTTCTCGCGTAGGTGATCGGCAGGTTCAGAGTCGATGCACGTGTTTGAATGTTCCACAAATCGCACCTGCACATTCCTCATGGTCTCACCGATGCAGCTGTCACCACAAGAACTGTCTCCAAAAAGGAAACCAGGAATCAAAATATAGTCTTCAGGTAAAGGTTTCAGAAAACTGTTCACTGTGTGGGAAATAAAACGCTTTAGGTATCCCGCATTTAGAAAGGTTGTTTCAATTAGTTTGACATAGATGTCAATTTCAGAGGAGATACTTCTGGAGCGCACCATTGAAACAATTTCTTTTCCATTTGATGGGGATTACAGATTTCTAATGCTTAGGTAGTTTAACTGGTTTCTTCATTGTAGGCTTTGAAGTTGAACTTGTGAAAGTGAAAGTGAAAGCAGGGTCCAAGAAATGGTCGGCATTTTGCTCAACAATGAAAACGATGTTAAGATTGTAACTGTTCAGATGCTCGAGTAGATCATCAGGTTTGCCTTTTTTTGTTCTTGGAAAACCAATTATCAACACACTGGTCGTAGAATGTTGGGTTAAAGGGTCGAAAAACGTCGCAATCCAATGTGGCCATAGATATATTTACAAAGATAGCAGAAAAATTAATGAATTATTGACGAATTTTACAACTTGATTAAAGAGCAAGCTCGTGTTATGTTAGAGTACTCCACTCAAATCTAAATGAAAAGTCGATACATGAATTATTTTTTATGCACAGGAAAGAAGAAAACGGGGCGAAAATGGTCTTCATTTTGGCCGATTCCATTTCTTTATTTATCTTTGCACGCAGCAAACCATTCTATATATTTGTCAAAACTCTCATCAAGAAATTTTGCTCGAGGAAAGCATTTAAATAAATCTCGACACCAGAAACGTTTTAAAATGAAAGTTGTACGGAACCAGTTTATTGTCGCCAAACCGCTGAAAAACACTCTCTAAAATTGCCGCTATATATTACTTTAATACCTCGAAAAGTATATACCGAGCAGTTTGTTGTTTTCGTCTTTGGTCTTTACCGAGTGCCTTTGTTCAACCAGCTTATCCAGCTCCTGCTCGCTTAAACCAGCAAATCCTTTTGCTGGAGGCTCGTCAAAAAAGGGGACTCGAAATTTGACAGCACACAGGAATTATCTTGCTCATTTCTGGAGGAATTATTACACTTTCAATATTTTTCGAGAAAAAAGAAAGGAATTATATATGTTGTAAATACTGGCAACATCGATTAAAAAAATGTCACAAAAAGTACAAAGAAACAAACTGACGTTAGCGTGCAACCCACGGGCAAATGGATCGAGCATATTAGCCTACCAAAACGCGCGCCTCCCTTATACTATGTTATAAGAGAAGCTGTGAAATTAAAGCCGGAAAAAAAAATTCAGGCTCGAAGGGGATTCGAACCCACGACCTCTGCGAAACCAGTGCAATGCTCTACCAAGTGAGATATCAAGCCAACAGGGAGCTGGTCATGTTATAAGTTCAAGTTTGTAATGTACCGGTAGATGGTGAAGATACAGGTGACTCATGAAAGATCATATATTGCGGATCATAACCTGTGTGTATAACTGCGACGATCAATCATATCTTCACATCTTTATCGTTTGTCTACCACAGCTTAATCTCTATTCGTTGGTTCCTGACGTTTTAAGAACTCAATAGGGAGCTTAAGCAAACCACGACAACCACGGCGGCGACGAGTACGATACCAAACAAAAAGCTTAATGAAGAGGAAAACAATAGCTGTGCACGTGCGTTATAAATCTTTGTACATTTCTTTGCCGTCCTCTGCAAAACAAGAACGTAAATTGACCAAGTTCTGCGTCGTCTGAGGAACGCGAACGACGACGGCTAACTTTTCGTTTTTCCATTTGAAATTGAACGCTGTCATTACATATTTAGCTTGAGCACGTTTTTAGAGCCATTGGCGTACTGAACAGATCTAGACAATCGCGAATTTCGCTGGTAAACTATAAATTCAGTTTTTACTAGGCGTCGTCCTCGGCGTCGCCGTCGTCGTTGTTTAAGCTCCCTAATGTTATCATCGCGGAATCTTTAAGAACAGCTTTCTGAGAATGTAGTGAATCGAAGCGAAAAATCGATTAAAAAACGTAAACAGGACAAAAACCGAGACACAGAACAGGTAGGAGAAAACTTCTTTTGATTTATGAACATTTGACTAACGCCCGGACGTGAACTCCTAAACGGCCAGTTGACGTTCACTTTAAGCAGGGAACAAGGAAATATGTTGATGATCTCTAAGTAATGTAATGGTTGCACTCAGTGGCGCTGCAACTTTTCATTTTATTGGTAATACGAGAAGATTCCAAAATTGCTGTTAAACCATGCAATCCATCCTTGTTGAAACATCTTCGTTGATGTTTGATGAGTAAGTAAATTCAATTATGAAAAGTGATAGACATCGATTTTATTTTACTTTTTAAAGTATCATAATAGGTCTAAATAAATGAACTATGGTCTTGGCAGAAATAGGGCAGAGGGGAATGGAAGGCGATCGAGAGCCTGATACACTCGTCGTTAATGTGGAGGTCCCACCACGAAATAGGTGACGGTAGTAATTTTGATAGACGTATGCTATCCACCCATGGAGTAACCTCCCTAATTTGGCGTCCTTGATTCTAGATGGTGTGTACTTTTTGAGGTGCTTTTAAATAAATTCGTATATAAATAAGGCTATTTAGGGTATTTTCTCTCATTGTACACATTGCTTCTCAACTGTACTGTAGAATAAAAAGGTAAAGACAATAAATTTACCCTAAAATTTGAGTAGTCGGTTTTACGCGAACTCGCTGTTAAAAGAAATGCCAATAAAGAGGAGAACGAAAAATAAAGCAAAAGAAATCAGATTTACCTTGCCGTTTAGTCCAGGTGTTTTTACTAAAATTAGGAAGGCACTGCCTACAAGGGTCTTCTGGATGAACCTCATTTGGAGCAAAACAATATTGATTGATGTAACAGGAATCATCCTAAAAATAAAACGAGAGAAAGCACGGTAAATTCCTATAGTTTGGCTGCGGAATAATTCTATGTGTCATTCAGTCACTAACCTTAAGAGAACATCCAAGTGAAACATTACAGTCCATACAGGCTGAGTCGTATGATATAAATTTGAGGCTTTGGTCGCTTTTGTGAATACCATCGTTTGACACAGATATTGTAAGCCCAGCAGCCACAGTCCCACCAATGTTTCTGTCGAAATGTCCCTGCTTTACAGGCGAGTCTGGTAGGTAGCAATCAACAAGCAAAAGATCTACCATAACACCTGGGAAACTACGTTCTGTTTTGTTTGGTGTCCAAGAACTCTCATCAACCTAAATGAAAAAAAAAAAATAAATAAATAAATAAATAAATAAGAAAAAGGCTTTTTAAGCCAACTCGTGATATTTGAAAACGGAGGAGGAGTTTGTTTGCGTGACACAGGATAAATTCTAATGCAATCATTATTTACAGATAATATTTAAGTGTATTTTGGTGGAACACTTGAGCTGTTTTTATCGCTACGACTGTAATGAGTTCTGCCAAAAAGAAAAAAACAAAAAAAAAAAAAAAAAGAAAAGAAGTTTGCCTATTAATTGTATATTCTGTGGTTTCAATTTACAACATAGATGCGCATTTGGTGAACTGAATTCACTTTCAAAACCAGAGTAAACGTTTACTTGAAACTGACGTAAAAAAGCTACAAGCCAGGTAGAATTTATTTCAATGTTTACCAATAACGTCAAATACTTCTCCGTAAAAATAACAGGATTTTTTTTCACTACTGGTTCGTAGTTTCGATTTCTCTATTTCTTAAAATTAGACATTTTGCGATTTGTTTTTGCGAGAATTATTTTTGTCTTCTGGCGATCCTTGTAATAATTTTACATGTTTCAGACTTAGTGTTTCATAGATTAGTAATTTCGTCTTACTTATTAGTTTCTACAAACAGTTTTCAGACGTCACGTTTTTCAGCTCCTTTAATAGCATGAAAGCAAATTTATGTTAATCAAACGTTAATGGTTAAACAATAAAATATTTTAACCTCACTTGTTTGTTTATTTTTCTGTTGTATTTCATTTTACAAAACAAATAATAAAATATTGCGCTTTTGAAAGGGGACTGGCAACTAGTCAAAATGTAGGCTATCTCTTTTACTACTTTTTCATTATGTAGGGTTGCCACAAAGAAAAAAAAAATTCTGCGATTTTGAACAGAGTCTTGTCAGAAATCAAACATATACTTTGACTTTTGATGGGTCACATCCGTTGCAAGATTTTTCCCGCCAAAAGACAGTATATTTTTTACTCAAAACCAGACACTGTTTTTTTCCCGGTCGCCTTGAAAGCGTATTTTTTTAAACTTCAAGACAATAATGTCGTCAAACACGTTAGTTTTCTTTCCGACTAATTTCTCGTTCGCTTAGGGAAGCGGAAATTCTTAATCCGAGACAATTGTGTCGACTTTTTCCTCGACCATCTAAAAAGCACAACATTTATCCCGGACTATTTTCTGCCAGCAAACATTTTATTACAATCTGCTTTGCCTTGCTTCGCTCTTTGGTGATCCACTGAGCTTTCAGATGTTTCTCTTTGAATCTAGAAGGAAAAATCAAGTATAACTTAATTAGTGAGTCGCGAGTCATTTTCAGTGCATACTGTTTTGAGTCAAACGGTTACAGTTTGGTACTCTCCTAGTTACAAGAAACATGACTGTCAGCTTGGTGAAATTACAATCCATGAGAAGATTAATATTTCTACTGACTAGAATCGATGCTATTTTTGGCAATCTTCTTTTGTCCTTTAACAGTTCCAAAATTTATAACGCAACATCAATTCTTGGCATTTCATATGATCGTAACGCATTTAAAACAATGTTGTGAGGTTTTGCACTAAATTTTAAAGCTATTGAATTACAACGTGAACTAGCGCCTGGTTAATTTTGCGAATTTGATAGC